ATTTAAATTAAACTTAAATAAATTATATCACTAAACTAAAATAAATATACTATTAAAAATATATCACTAAAAAATATATCACAAAAAAAATATCACTAAAAAAATCATTAAAAAATAACATAAAAAAAAATTTTATTCACTCTCTCAATATCATAGAAATTAGGCGTTCTTCTTCAGCCTTCCTTTTTTATAATCTTATGTAACTTTTAATCTATTGAAGTCTTTCGTAAGTAAACTGCTTGAAATAAATGTTATTGAACGAACGAACTCTTAACACTGCAACAAACGAAAGACTGAAAGCAAACTCCTGACTTCTAAGAACTATTTTAGCCTTTAATAATGTAAGTTCTTAGCTTTTGTGAACTGTTATCACTCACGCGAGATATAGAGGAATCTAAAATTAAGAACATAATTTTCCAGATTTACTTTTTCAGATATATTTAATAAGAATGATCAGGACACGTCCTTAATTATTATGAAGATGCAAATTATATTTTTATTCACTTTCACAATTAAAACATTTCTTATATTTTTCAGATGTCTCCATTAAATTTCTTTGTGTTCTACGTTTATAAGCATTTTTAATTCACATATCATGTTCTTCTTCAGTTTTATTAGCTTTTTTGCTATTTTCTTTTACTATTATAGGCTAAACGTGCTTTATGCTATTCATCCATTTCATTCTTTTAACTATTTTTCGTTTGAAGTGTTTCAGGATTAGTACTTCATTTATTCATTGTATAGTGAATTTAAATGCACAAATCTTAAGCAATTTTATTATCTTTATTATGAATACTTTATTATAAATACAACTATATAATTAAAAATCTTTATTAAAAAAAAAATACAATATTATTCAATTTACATGATTAAAATCTATTCTTTTACACTAACAAATCTGAATAATAAAAGAACAATTAAAACAAAAACAATTAACATATTAATAATATACTTTATTGTTTTAAATGGTTACAGTACATTTTCTTAAAAGCTATCTTACCGAATAGATATTTTCTGAAAACTTTGAGCAGAGTTATCATAATGTAAACTGAGCTTTCAGAAAAATGTTCATTCAGAAAAATAGCTTTTGGGATAACATCTAACATCAGTTTCAAATTTAATTTTCTGAAGTTTCAGCATCTTGATTAGATAATGATCAGCATTTTACTTCAGAAATTTTTGACATCACATGTATCAATTTTTTTATATTATATTAGTTAAAAAATAATAATCATGTAATATATAATTCATAGTTTTTTATTAGTTAAAACCTTAGCTTTAGATTTAACAACAGCTTACCATTTCTTAGTATAGTATAAATTACTAATTGTATAGTATAGTCTGTATATATATTTATCTTAATTATGATAAAAGTAAATTATAAAATAAATAAAAAAAACTGACCTTATATTCTTCTAAAATTAAACCTAACTTAAATTAAGTATATTACTTTTTAAAAAATATATATAAAAGAAAAAAAGAAGAATTAGAAAAGTATGATTATTGTTATACTAAAAATTTGATCAATAGAATCTTAAATATATTATAGTATTTATAGAATTAAGGCTAAAAGAGGTAAAAGTATAATTAAAAGAAGTTAAAGAAAAATCAGAGAAGAATAAGTGATTTACATAATAAAATTACTACTTTTAATTATATAAATTTAAATACAATTAATTTATAGATCTTTTCTTTGATTTTTATTTTTTTCTCTTTAATTCTAATTTCTATTTACTTTTTAATAAATCTAATTTTTCATTAATTTCTAATTCTTATTTCTTCTTTTAGTAATTTTTAATTTCTAATTCTTTTACTATTATTTTCTATTATTATATTATAATTTATTATTATTTCTAAACTTATGTTATTCTTACTTTAATATTTATAATATTTTATTATAATTATTTTCAAATTTTTACTAATATTTTCTAATTATAAATTCTAATTTTTTTATTAACTTTTATTTCCTAATCCTTTCTTTATGTTTTCTTTTTCATTTTTAATTCTAAAGATTATTATTTAACTTATTATATATTATCATTATATATTCTTATGATATCATTTTTTATTTTCATTGATTATTACTTCATTTTCTTTTATTCCTTTAATTTATAAAATAATTTTTTCTTTTCTTTCATATTCAGATATATTTATATTTTTTCTTAATATTTTCTTTTTTAATAATATAAATAATATAAGTATTCTATAATTTTAGTTTATTAATTTCTTTCATTTAAGTTTTTATATAATATTCATTTATATTTATAGCTTTTTTTTTTTATTTTAAGAGTTCTTTAACTATTCTCTTTTTTTATAACTTCAGTTATTTGTATTTTCAGATCTTATGATCTATTTTATATAACATTTTAATTATTATATTACTTTCTATTGAAACTGGTAGAAACTAACAGACCTGTCAAATATGATATATATGCTAAATATGCCGTATCTGCTAATTAAGATATATATATCATTTATTATAATTTTATTATATTTATCATTATTATTATTTATTTCATATTTAATATAATTAGCATATCTGTTAGCTCTTATAATTATTGTCAATAGTATTATAAATATTATAGATTTTTTTTAATTATAATTTTCCTATATAAAGAACATGAAAATGTTTTGAAAAAAAAACAGATTCCAATATTGTATTTAATATATATTTAATAACAATAATAAATAATCTTAACATTTTGCAAACATAAACTTATAATTTTATTCTTGTTAACTAAATAAACTCTCTAATAAATAGCATGTTAAGTTAATTGAATTTAAGTTATAGTTATTGTCTCTTTGACTTCAAATCATAATTAACTTATTTGATGAAAAGAGTAAAATTAATATTATTATTATATTATATTATAGTTATTATATTATTTTCTAGTTATCATATCATATTTTTAGTTTTATTACTATATTTATATTATATTCTAGTTATATTATATTTTATATTATTATATTACTAAATAGTTATATTAGATAATTTGTATTTTATTATATTATTTAATTACTTATTCCTTTAGTATCATGTAATTTCTAGCTAATTATTTTTTTTATAACTCTTCGTTCAATTAATTATTTTCATATTTTTTGATATTTTATTATAATTTTTAATATTATTTTTTTTGCTAAAAAGATTATGTAATATATCATTTCAAGATTTCTTAACTCTATATTATTTTGGTCAGGATATTTCTAAATATACATATATTAATAATCTTTTACAGACAATATAATAAAAAAAAAGAGTTTCATATTCAACTGCTGATATTATTTTAATTTAGATTATTACTAATTATCACTAAAATTATAAATGTTATATGATTTTATTTTTAAAAATTCTAATATATAATTGTAATAAAAATGATATTACTATATATAATTAAAAAATTAAAATTAAATGAGTATTTTGTAATAAAAAAGAAGAAAACTACCAAAAAACTTTTTTTACTTTATAAGCTAAATCTTATTTTTTTAGTAAAATAAATCCAAATTTAACATTAATTCAAAAAATTTTTTTGGTAGTTTTTTTCCTTTCTATTGTAAAAAGCCTAATGATAACATTTTATATTTTAACTTTATTAAAATGCAAAAATTTTTTATTAAAAAAGAACTATCCAATTTTTAATAAAAATGATCATATTTTTTAATTCTTACTTTTTAAATCATGTGTATTAAATTAATTATAAAACTTTGTAAAAAAATTATAATATTTTAAATCTAGTAATTATAAAAGTATAAAATAAAGTTTATTAGATTTATCACATTAAGATGTATTTAATAATAATATTTTAAAAATTTGAAATTAGTAATTATTAATATATATATTAATTTTCAATTATTAAATTTTTAAAAATAATTTTATTATCTAATAATCACAAAAAATTAAAATTTAATTTATTAGAGTTATTTTATTAATTAAAAATATTATTTTTATATTTTTAAGATTAATAAATAGCAAGACATATAAGTTTAAAATTTAATTAAAAATCACTAAAAATTACATTTATTTTTAAAAAAAAAATTTCTTAGTACAGGAATATAAATATCCTACTTTGATATTAACCTATTATTTCCTATTTTTAATATTTACTTAGAATACATCATAAAATTTAATTAATTTTTTAATAAATTATTTTAAAAATTTAAAATAATTAAAAATAATTTTAATTAATAAATAAACCTAAAAATAAAATCATTTATAATATTTAATTAATAATTATATAAAAAATCAATTAATGTTTAATATTATATATTAAAATACAAAAATCTTTTAATAATAATATATATTTATTACCTATTATAAAATTTTAATAAAATTAAAATATGAAACAATATAATTTTATAAAATACAAAATTTCAAAAATAACACTTATAATATTTAACTACTTTATCATTAAATAATCTGATAACTAATAATTTAATTAATTTTTAAGAAATTATAAAAAAAAAGAAATTTAATTTAACTAATTATTTCATATTATTTATATTATGTAATTATACTATCTGATTTATAAAACTAATATTCTATTTCTTTTTAAATAAGCTGATCTCTAATATGTCTTTTAAAGCATAATGCATAATATATATTAAACCAAAATAAATCTCTTTATATATTTTGAATAAAGCTATTTATTTAATTCAAACTATTTATATTTAAATTTATATTTAATATTTATTAAGTAAATAATGTTTTATATAATAGTATTAACTTTTGAAATTTTTTTAATTAATAATTTCTAAGTATAAAAATTAAAATAAATCATTTATAGTGATATAAACTTGATTTTTGTAACCCTAATAATAATATAACGCGTTTGTTATCCATTTAGCTTAATATTTCCCAGCAATTTTTATTTTCGTAATACTAACTTGCTTTTTTTTAGGATTTTTTTTTTTAATTTTTTTGTTTAAAAATGTGGATTGATATGCAAGATAACCCAATAAAAAAATTATTTGATTTCCTTTGGATTGATTTATATATTTTACTACTAATGGTTTGAGGTTGTTTTTAAAAGTGATTCACGAATTTTTGTTAATGCTGTTAATACTATTCGTCTTCCAGCTGGTTCAGCAAGATCAAAACCAGTCTTCAAGCCATTACCAATCAGCAATCTTTTAACCTCAATTTTCTGTTTTTTGGTAGGCCGTTTGTAAGCTCTATCCAATATGATGCAGGAATTATAGCTTTATAAAAAGTAACGTATGTAGAGATCACTCGAATAGCCCATAATGTTTGATCTTTTGGTGTTTTACTAAGACGTATATTCTCACTACCGAAAGTAAGAATCTCTACAGCAATCTGTGATTCCTAAAATCAGTGACATATCCTACGTTTTCAGATGTTTGTCCTGTAAAAAAATGGTTGAGTCAATGAAATAAGAACTTTTTAAACGATCAACAGCATACAGACCTCTACTACAAGAACAAAAATGTTTCGCTTCCTTATTACAAATTCGGTATCTGATGATACGATAGGTTCATCACCAATGTATGTATATCGTGCATGGTTTGTGAATTCTAGATTGAGAGAAGCAAACTTTAAGAACACATAATCATCATAACTATGGAATTTCCTTAATCTTTAAGGGCCAAGTATTCAATCTAGCAATGCGGAGCAGATCATCAGTATATTTTATTCGCATCCATTTAACATCCAATTAGCGCGGCAGTAATAAAAATCAAAAAAAATTTTAAGAATTTATCTAACCAAAAACCAAACCGGTTTGAATTTAGTTTCTCTATCGTTGCCGCAGTAAAAACAGAAAGGCGAAGTAAATATCCTAGCGGATTTGGTAAAACATCAAGATTTTCTATCAAGTACTGGAGCAGTTAATAACGAAAAAAATTCTTATGCGGAGTGCAACTGAAAAATATCGCCTAAAAAAGATTATAAAGTTTATATTTATCAAGTAGCTAAAAATAAAATACTCTGCTTACACAAATTTATGCCGCAGTAGAAACTTTATATGAAGTAAAATATTCTTACGGAAATGGCCGAATATTTTACACGTATACCATTACGTTCCTTTATCATTGTACAGCATACACCCTACCAAAACACTCATAATTTTTCTTATTTATCGGACAATTAGAGATGCAATTATTCAGAGACTTCAAACACTTTAATTCATTGCACAAAATATCAATAATTTAAAGACATTTTATTTTAAAAATAAAACTTCAAAAACTTATTAAATGATGGTTGACAAATCATTGGTTATTTTATTAGTTACCAACTAGATTAGGTTGGTGTGCGGCGACTTTGTCGCCGCTAGTTATGGTTATTATACTGCTTTA